CTTTCTTATATAAGGCTCTTACTTCCTTCACTTGACCGAGTGCTTCCACGTTTTTGAGTGTCATGAGAACACCTGCGCTTCGACAAATGGGGAAGGACGCTCATGAATTACTGTCGAAATACGGAAAACACGAAGGTGCCGGCCGTGAAAATAAGCAAACACTTTTTTCTATATGATGAGCATACCAGGTGAATGCTAAACATTTTTGCTAATTAAACTGCCTTGCTAGCACACAAAATCGGCAACGTTTGCATCGATTGGCGCGCATGTGGCAACAGTCGCACCGCATCTCGCACTTAAAGGGCACCAACAACAGCTCCGATGATATTCATGACTCGCGAGTCGCGTTGAGGAGTCTACGGAGCACGCAAGCGGAAAAGAAAGGCGTGGCGGGCATGCGAATGTATCTGCATACTCGAAAATGTTTCTCAGATACAAGCGCGCACGTCTTATCTGCACTATATAACGTAAGCAGTGTACCGTTGCAGCAGAACCACCTGGCGAACCTTTCCTTATGAATTCGTCTTTCCTTACGGTATGCAAGAGCGCCTTTCACTCTATATGATGGTGGAAACTTATATTACGAGTTTGTTGAAATTGCGTGCAGCATATGGACGGAGCAAAGTGCTATACGCCTTGTACTTTTCGGTTTCAGTGCATGTTAAAGCACTCCAGGAACCCAACAAAACAACAAAACCAAACAGTGTAGATACGCCATTATATCGACAGATAGGGTGTTTCAAAAAATTTGTCCGATTTTATTTTATTTAGGAATCACAGAAAGGAGCCCCCCCTCCTCCCCCCCCACACACACTTTGGCAGAAAGACCCTCAGTTGTGTGGAAACATCAATCAGGGCAGCAATTCAGATATAATGCAATTACATTTTAACCAGTGGAAGTTGTCGGTCGAGTCAAATGGGCGAATTGAAGTTCTTTCTACGAATAGTGTATAGCCGCTTTGAAATTTCGGAAAGGCGGCCACCGGTAATTGCAGCAGAATGACGAAATTGGGCTGATTTGGCTGGTGAAACCCAAACTGACGCACCAAACAGCGCATCTACCATTCACTTCTAAAACGCCCTCAATGAAAAGTTTATTGTTTGAGATTGTGGGAAAAGTTAATTGTTTAATTTCCCTAACTACTGTCACAACCAATGCTTGTTCACATCTGAAGATGTTCTCTGCCAAAGCAAAAGGAATGTCGTAGGCAGCACGCAGATGACTCTCCCTCCTCCCCCGCCTCTCTTCTCAGCAAATCCTATAACATTGGGCACATTTCTTGAAACGCCATATGAGACCCGGGCCTAATACGGGCCTGACTGACCCGGGACCAACCCGAGCGGGAAGCTCATGGGCCTGAGCCCGATCTAACAATGCCTCCCGGTCCGGCCCGTGAGCTGGCCTGGGCCCGGGCTTTTGGGCCAGCTCAGTGCTCTAAGTTAGACGTGCGCACCACCGAGCTTATCAGCAAAACATCTTATACATTTCAAGTAACACCGCCATTTTGTATCGTCACAGGGGTCATTTGCAGGAGGAAATTGGTAGGGAGCCTTCATGTGTGTGTGTCGCCTATAAAAAAGGAGGAAGCTAACAGAAACGGACAAGGCGGGGCGATTAACCAAAACGACTCCCGGATGACTAACCTACACTTGGAAATTGGGGGAGCAGAAAGGGGAGATAGAGAGAGGGAAAGATAAAGAAAAGAAAAATGCAGAGAGAGAGAGAGAGAGTAAATTTATCGCAGTGTGTAGAACTCCACTACAGGTCAGAGACGTTCCCACAAACCCACCTATGAATGCTTCCTAGAAATCGTCGAAGCTAGCCACATGTTAGTGCTCTGTGCGAAGCATGGAACGCTCAGGCCTCGATTGCCTTACTTGACAAAGAGCTCGACACACTCTAGTTCGATTATCTGTGCTTACGCAGACAGTTTTCAATCGGTTGCTGTCTGTCATTTTCTTTAGCAGATCCCTCATGTACACGTGGTATGCAGCCTTGTTATTAAAGTCACGGTTATGCGCAATAAATGTTTCCGTTGGCTGTCAGGGCTTGTCCTGTGCAGTTCTTCCCATTTGTCGCTCGCGTTTTCGCGCTTTTTAATACTGCGCATTGTGTTCTAAGCTACACTGGTATGTAGTAGTCATTGTGAATGTGGCCTAAAACACACAGTTGGCTCAGTTATGAGTGGGCCCGGCTGGGAATTACGAAATTTCGCTAGCAATATTACGCTCCCTTGATCTTACGTTAGGCTTACGGCTTCCAAGAAGACTCCGACGAGGTGACGCTACTGTTCTGTGCAGACTATGATTGGGCGTCGCGTTTAACCGTGCGTACGCGTACCACATAGGGATGGCCGCTATTGCCGCCTGCGTACACTGCCGATATGACGAGACGACACGTCATGTGCGATTGGCCGGAATATAGCGTACGAATGCAGTATATTTCTAATACAATTGACAAGTTAGATGACCAGCCTCTGACAGAGGAAAGTATACTACGCCATCATCCAGATTCATCATCGCAGAAGGCCGTACGAGTGCTACTGAGCTTCTTGCCAACTACTAGCCTGTCTGAGTGACTCGCGAGTGGATCGATTTTGTGTGTGCGTGTGTCCGTGACTTCTTCCTATTTATTTTTATCTCTCTCTTTAAACCCACATATTCCCCAACCCTAGTGCACGGTACCATACTGAACCTAGCATTTGGTTAACCTTCCTGTCTTCCTTTTTTTTTTCTCTCTCTCTCGACCAGAAGTGCAATGAAGTGGATTCCAGTGGCCAATCTTACATAATTTTACGCAGGAAATTTTTCCCTAACAATCTCAGTTATCAAATTACTTGGGCTTTTAGTTATTCTTGAAACTGCCGTTGCACGTGGGAGTGTGAAAATTACGTCGCACACCATGCACCTAGCCTTTTTTTTTTTTTTGAAGTGGCATAACATACACTCTCAGAAACACGTCGTGATGACAACTGACGTCTTAAGTGCTCCTTTCGACAATTTTCGTTCGCGTCAACATGATTCGCGAAGTGGTGCTTTATTTTTACGCGCTAAACGTTGGCCTCTTTAGCTCTCGAAAGCACCAACGCGTGGCGCTTCAACCGTAAGAATTAATGGAAAAGGAAACGCTCGCTTAGTGCCATCTTCTCAAATATAGTTATTGAATCATTCGAAGTTAGTACCTTAATCGTGGCCTAGAAAAAGCTTCCTACACAAATCTTCGCCATGCCACCGCTCTGTGATCAAGCTTATATTACAAACCAGTGCCCTTAAAAGGTAACCAGGGCAATACGTCTACCCCGCAATGACCCCAAGCAAAGCGCGCAGCCCACTTTCGGTCGCATGTTCGAGTATTGTAACCCAATAAAAGCAGAAGACAAGACTGCTGTTCGAAATGTCGGCTTCAGCGACACACTGAGTGGTCCATCATTTCCAGTACTGTAATAATTAAAACAATTCACATGGGCTCTCGAACGTGTAACGGCTAGAAATAGAGTGCGGGTGAGATTAGCAAGGGTGGTGCGGATAGAAACGAGTCAAATATACGAAATTTGCAGATATGGATTAACGTACGAATCAGTCTTATTCTCGCGTCATAGTACTGGGTGGTTATGAACGAAAATTTTTGCCTCTGAGGCTAAATTTCTTTCGACAGGAGCAGACGGCACCGATTGACAAAGAACACTTACCATCCAGCAACGTTTGTAATTGGAGTTCCGAAGAGTATATCGACCACTTCAAGTGCACCTTTGCCTTGCAGCACACTTTATATGAGTACTACTGCACGCAGTAACCGTTTGCGTTCCGTCACCGTGGCAAACTTACCGCGCTTTGACGCAGAGTGAACGAAACATGCTCTCCGAAGAAAACGCGTGTGTGAAAAGAAACATTTGCGACACCTTGCGGACTGCATGGGTGCCGCGAATTATCTAATGCCATTTTCATAGCGAAGGGGTTGCTACGTCACCCAAATAAGTTGTTGTGTCAGTGATTGCTATATGCGGCATCGGGCTTAGTCTCTTGAAGACCCACTTGTAAGTCATTTACTAAGTCACCAAAGAAAAAAAAAAGATGGTTGCGAACTACATCTTATAAGACATACCGTTCTATGACTGCGCAGACAACGCGATATTAGTAAAGCGTTTGGAACGTGACAACAAAATTACTGATTCGTCACCTTGCATCGCAACGAAATGAGCTACTTATAAAACGTTCACGATAATGCGAGGACAGCAGCGGCTGGTATACATAAAAGTGTTAGTACTTCCCTGCGCGGACAGTATTCCTTGAATGCCGCAAGTAAAAATACTGCAAATTAAGAGCGGTCGTCAGTCAGGGCTGCGTCGGTCGTTTACAACTTGCGTCCCTTTGCTACGAGGTTGTTCTTCCTACTTCGCAGACTGTAATAACTGCTTTAGAACTTGCACTGCGAATTCACTGAAAACGTCCGTGATTTGTAGCATACCGATGAATTGGTTTAGTGTTTATTTATTTCTAAACGAAACTTCAGCGATAAAATTATAAATCGTTGCGACTTTACGTCCATCAAACAATGATATGGTTAGAGAAACGCCGTATAGGGGAGGACTCCGAAAATATAGACAACCTTGGCTTCGTGCACCTAAACCTAAGTGCACGGTCCTCTAGCATTTCACCTTAATCGAAAATGCGGTGGCCGCGACCGAGATTAAATTCCACAACTTTCGGGTCGGCAGTTCAGCATCGTCCCTGCTAGACGTCCTCGGCAGGTCAATTCACAACCGGCTGAGCGAGTTTGCTGAGGATCAGAATCATCTGTAGCACACCCGATTAGTTGGTTGATTAATTAAAGTTGTCATCGCGGCAGCGTCTGTGATATACGCATACCAGGGAACATAACATATAGTGGCCCCAAATGTCGGCGTCTTTTGAGCGCACCGTGATTTAAACATTAATGGCTGCCAATTAGCGCAACTTCAAGTTCAACTGATTGATCGATTTTTATTTCCTTATTTTTGCAGATGAGATGCCTACAAAGAGAACTGCTATGCGTGGTACGTCGGACCGGTTCCCGGGAGAGCAGCTCTCTAACAGCTGCAGCCACGGAGAAGCAGCGCCCCGTGGAGCACGATGTGTGTCCCGCACACGGAGACAAGCTGCAGTTGCAGGGCCTCAGAAAACGGCCGGTCGGTGCAGCCAGCGACACCGCAAGGCCGTTCCACGAAATTCCTGGCCCTAAACCGTTGCCGCTCATCGGAAACATCTGGAGATACCTGCCGCTTATAGGTGGAGCATGCCTTCTTCATTCAGGCTTGCTGTTAACGCTTCATTCGTCTTGGTATACGATATGCTGATGTGGGCTCGTGTGCCTCGAGGTTGGAAGGATGAGAATTTGTTTTTGGTGGATTCGTGTTTTTTGTTGGATACAGAAAAATGAATATGACAAGCACCTAGACTAATGAAAGGCATAGGATCCATTATTAATTGTCCTTAACAGTAAGCGCAATAGTTATGACGGAAATGGAACAGACCTGCAGTGAACAAAAATCACCCTTTCAGTCGGTGGTATCCGAACCGACATTGATTGATTGATATGTGGAGTATAACGTGCCAAAACCACTATATGATTATGAGAGACGCCGTAGTGAAGGGCTCCGGAAATTTTGACCACCTGGAGTTTTTTAACATGCACCGAAATCTGAGCACACGGGCCTACAACATTTCCACTTCCATCGGAAATGCAGCCGCCGCAGCCGGGATTCGATCCCGTGACCTGCGGGTCAGCAGCCGAGTACCTTAGCCACTATAGACCACCGCGGCGGGGCGTCCAAACTGACAGTCTTCGAAATACGCTTACTATGTTTTATCAACTGAGTTATGATGGAAGACGCCTCCTCGTCCACTTTGCTGGATATTTCTAAAAATGCAACGCAAATAACGACACTATAGTTTTTCACAAGTGGCAAATCTATACCGACTGTACGCACAAGCGAAAGCTAGGTCGTGTGAAAGGTGTAAAGTTTGGCTGAAGTTCACGTGCTGTTGATATTGCGCTCATGGTAAGGTATCCTTATGTATGTATTGTTTTCGACAAAAAAAAAAAAAAAACGAGCGTCAGGGCTTGTGTTCTGTTTCTGTGCGAAGTTCGATCATGTATCCGTATACTCGACTCGCTGAAATGCTTGTTCTTATGAACACACTTTTTTTGTTTGCTTTCCCGTGCACTCGCAGGTGACATGGACCTGACGCGTATGCACCGCAACGCGCAGAAGCTCTTGGACCGGTACGGGACCCTGGTGCGAGAGGTGGTCGTCGGGGACCGCGTCGTCGTGCACGTGTTCGATCCGCGAGACATGGAGCACGTGTTCCGTCACGAAGGACGCTACCCGGCGAGGCTGTCGCACAGGGCGCTACTCAAGTACCGACGCGAGAGGCCGCACATGTACAACAGCGGAGGACTGTTTCCTTCGTAAGTGACACCTCGTACAGTCTCTCGAGCGAGCATGGCCTATACGGGGTCAGACGCAGGCATCTATCTATCTATGTGGCCGCGGATTTCCTAGTCAAGCACAAATCAGGGGCCAATTTAACAGTTTTTTTTTCGTTTGCGATCAACATTCGCTAGCCAGCTTCATCAAAAGAATGTCTAGCAGCAAGGCCTACGGGCTAAGACACAGGGATCTATCTACGTGGCCGCGGATTTCCAAGGACGCGTAGATAAATTGTAGTTGAACTCGCAAAGCTTCCATTTAACTTTTTTTGTCACTATTTACGAACTATCTTACCGTAAAAGCTTTTCGTGGATGCGGGCTTTAGTGTTTCAGTCAGTACCGCGTAGCTACACCGAAATTAAAACACAGATGATACTTTCAATGATGAAGCACCGATTGGAAATATTGTGCTGCGGAAGTTTTACCATTGAAGGGAAAGCAGTGTAATATAGATTGCAGTGTAAAGGAGAGGTAACCTTCTCGATATGAATACCCATACAGGACAAAACTCCAGCTTGAGGTACCCCTTTCCCGATTACAAAAGCGGGTGGTTGCCCGATGCGAGAAGAATAATCGAACCCGGTACTTCTATTTTATTGTTTGGCGTGAATGCTCTATGCCTCTTAGTCACCGCTGTGGTTATGCCAGATCAGCCCTAAGACCACGTAATGTTCCCCCTCCATTAGTACTGTTTCCGTGCAAACAGTACTGTGGTCCTTGCGGTCTGTTGGCCTCCTTGCGACTGTAATTACGATGGCCTTCCTGTAACTTGATTGTAACATCTGGCGTACCTCCCTTCCTTACCACTTTCCCTATGTCTCTATCACAACTGTAGCCTAATGCTCCTAGTTTTGTTGACCACCGGCAAGAGCTTGTCAGAAAAGGCGCAGTTATTACAATGCACAAGGGAACCATCACTCACTAAATTCGCCCGTGTGAAACTACGTTTGCAGGAATGGCGAAGAGTGGTTCAGGCTGCGACACATGTTCCAGAAGCCCCTCATGCAGCAGGGGGCCATGTCTGCCTACGTGGACGTCTTGCAAGAGATTACCCTGGACGTCGCCAACCTGGTACGGCAAACGCGGGACAGCAACACGCTAGAAGTTGAAGACTTCCTCAAGCAGCTCTACCAGTGGGCCCTGGAATGTAAGACTCGCCGTTGCTTCTCAAGAATACGTTATTCAAGATTTAATGTCACGCGACTTATAGGACAAGTAAGCAGTTTCGTCGGGCACTTTTTCGGTCATCATTAAAAAAAAAGAGAACGTAATGTTATAACTAAAACTGAAGAAAAAAAACTTGAGGCGACCTTATCTGTTGATCTGGATAATATGTTTGATAGTGGCACAATTGCGCTTCCGCGTTCGTCTGCCCTGGTGTATTGTTTAGGTTACCAACGTGTTCATATAGGTGGCCTCTGACAGTTGACTGGTCCTGCACTCCCGCAAAGTTGCGTATGTTGCGATATCGCATCTATCCAGTGTAACTCTTAATTTGAAGCACAACCGTCGGTTTCACATGAGTGTCATTCTTTAAAATGCATTTTCTGTATATCTGCGAAACCGGAAGTGCGTGCTCGACCGGAACTTCTTGTAGGAGAAGCAAGAGTGTCACTTGTTGCTCGTGCCTCTAAAAAGAACCTTCAGTTATCTAGGACATTAAGGCTATCACACACATTATTAAAACAAAGGTCAAACGAGAAAGGAACTAAGGGGAAGAAATAATCATAAACCTACGATGTCGCTTGGGTCAACGTTTCGACAAGGGCTTGTTCCTGTCAGAGCGTCGAAGAACGTGTGCTTTTTTCACCTTTGCGTATTTTACGTGCTATAACTTGCTCGCACATGGTAAACTACGCTTTGACGCAAGAGATCTTGATCAATAAGCGGAATTAAGCGAGTGAAGGCGTGCAGAACAAACGAATGCACGTGGCTGGACATAGAACACGTCGTTGCTGTGCTCTTGGGTCACCCAATGCAACGGTAAGCTTTACGTAAGGTAGTATCACATCTGTGCGTCTTTGTGCATGTGTGTACCGGACGCGTCCCTACAGACATTTTATTCAGCGCTTTGAACGCATTGAGAGTTCAAGCCTCATCCCGGGGGAAAAAAAGCGCATTTATGGCTTACCGAACGAAGCCGTCCGTCTTTCTTTTTGGTGGCGGAATAGGAAAAGAGGCTATTAACTCTTTTGGCTCGCCTATTAGCAGGATGAGTGCTTGCGACAGAATACACTCAGTGCACTGTGACGTAGGGAGTGTATTTCTTTGTGATCCAACATAGAGTGCAAGCGGCGTCGACTCCTGTTTCGTAACGACGTGCTGAACTATATCCCCTTAATTTTTTGCCCCACTGCCGGTTTTTGCCACACTGTCACTGCCGGTTCTTGAAGAACCGGCAGTGAGGGTAATACCCGTGCCACACGGGCATAGAAAATGACATTTGGTGGCGACGGCCTTCAGTTCCCGAATGACATTCGTTTCGCCAGCGCTGCTACACGTCCAAAGCGAATGACATTTGACTTGATGATGTCGATCACAGCACCTTCCAAGTGAGCATTGAGTGAATAGCAATAAAAAAAATTAAGAAGCACTTACAAGCTTCAAACACATCAGATAATCATCAAATGTAGAAATAAGCGTATTACGCTGTCCTAAGTTTTAGTTTCTTGCTTTGTTTTACAACGTTGCAGCCGACCGTAGCAACCTAAGCCAACACTAGTCGGATCCACAGCGTAAATAGACACTAAAATTGACAAGCGTTTCATTATCAATACTTTATTTTCTTTGTATAACGTTCAAAGCACCTTTTTAATACTTTAGTGCAAGTAAAAGACGGGAAATTTCATTTTTAGCTCAATATGATTTCTTTTATATACTTTCAGGTAAATCGCCCTTCTCGAGCTGTGTCGTCGAGAGTAGGCATTTCTCAGTCAACTGAGTTCTGGCGAAGGCAGTTGGTAGCGAATGGCATTCGAATGGCATTCGGATGAATGCCATTTTGTTCGCCCGTGTGGCACCGCGCGAATGGCAATAAATCTGAAGGCATTCGGGGGTAAATGCCATTTTTTCTGCCCGTGTGGCACGGGTATAACATGTGGGGTAATCGATAATGCAGCATACAAAGATTAAACAAGATTGTATGACGTTTGCGTATTACATCGTCACCACCATGACAGATTCGGTGATGAGTCTTCATTCTATCCACTGTTCACACATCCTGTGTCCGCTTATATGGGATATTAAGCTTGAAAGGGTCGAAGCCTGATTGAATGATTGATTTCAAGTTTAACGTGCCAAAACTGCCATATGATTATGAGAGACGCCATATTGGAGGGCTCCGGAAATTTTGACCACCTGGGGTTCTTTATAGTACACTGAAATATGAGCATACGGGCCTACAGCATTTTAAACTTCATCGAAAATGCAGCCGCCGAAGCCTGAATTCGATCCCGCGAATTCGATCCAGCAACCGAGTACCTTAGCCACTAGACCACCGCGAAGGGGAAGTTCGAAGCCTCGTATATATAAATTTCTGAGTGTATCGATCGTTATATCGCTGCCCTTATTATTCCGCAGCGATGCCTCGCGCATACGTACACTGTTTGAAATACTACGAGCACTGATACAGCAGTGACTTGGACGAATGTCTGTTGTAACCTTTTTACACGGAATTCAAAGCTTGATAGAGATAGGTAATAGTGCACTTGAAGTTGTAAAAGACTATGTCTACTCAGAACAGGTAATAACCGCGGAGTCAAACCACGAGGCTGAAGCAACTAGAAGAATAAGAATGCAGGTGGAGCACATTTGGCAAGCACTCTCATATTAAGACAGGTAGATTGCCACTATCCCTCAAGAGGGAGGTATATAACAGCTGCATCTTGCCAATACTTAGCTACGGAGCAGAAACCTGGAGACTTACTAATGGGTACAGCTTAAAGTGAAGATGTCGAAGCGAGCAATGGAAAGGAAAATGGTAGGTGTAACCTTAAGAGACAAAAAGAGAGCAGAGTGGATTAGGGAACAAATCAGGGTTAAGGATATCACAGTTGAAATCAAGAGGAGGAAATGGACATGGACCGGGCATGTAGCGCGTAGACAGGATAACCGCTGGTCATTAAGGGTAACTAACTGGATTCTTAAAGAAGGCAAGCGGGTTAGGTGGAGACAGAAGGTTAGGTTGTCAGTTGAGATTAAGATGTTTGCATTTATAAATTGGCAGCAGCAGGCACAGGACCGATTTGGCTGGCGGAACATGGGAGAGGCCTGCAGTGGACGTAATCAGGCTGATGATGACGATGATGATATGGGTCTTGAAAGATATTGCTAAGCGTGACGCGCATGCTCTGCAGGTACGGGTGTGCTGGCACTTAACACAAGGCTGGGCTGCCTGCAGCAGGGTCTCAGCAGTGACTCGGAGCAATCGCGGCTCGTGGAGGCCGCATCCGAGACGCACCGCATCATCATGGTGACGGAGAACGGGCTGCCCTTCTGGAAAGTGTGGAACACCCCGGCTTACAAACAACTGGTCCAGTCGCAGGATTTCATGGCCAGGTGAACACTGCACGTGCGCGATGACTGCATGCGTTAGGCATCTGCATTTTCGTAATCATTGGTAATTCTCCGCTATAGCCATGTGAATGACTAGGTAATTTATCTGTAAATGCAACTTTTGATAGAATACAAGCTCAGGCTGTTAAGGGATGTTCAAGGCTCTTACGATGCATTTTTGTTGATATACGCTAATGCAGAAGCGCGCAGTAGAGCTAGCATTCATTGACGAAGACGCATGAAAGAGTATTACGCAGAGACAAAGTATGTCGTCAACAGGTATCTGGCTGTAGCATTGCTAAATTAACTTACCTGGTTTAATATTTTGATGCCTCGGCATGATCACTATAAAAGTTGACATAAACAGACCTAGGTTTTTTTTTTGAAGCGACAGTTTTTGTTTTGAACCAGATTTGCTTACAACAATAAAATTAAGTATTTAGCGCAAGTGCTGCTCCAGTCGATGTGCCTGTCATAAAAAATCTGCTTTAATAGTGAGTGTATGGAGACTGAAAAGTAGATCATCTAGAGTCATCCAGATCTAGTCATCTAAAAGTAGTCATCTAAAGCTTCCGGAGATAAAACGATAAAATTAAACTGCAGGTTTCTGCAAGACGGAATATTGCTCCATCACGTTGATCGACACACTTTGCGAGAAATACTGGGGAATGAAGTGGTGTGAGTGGTCCATAATCAAATGTGCCACGCAGAAAGAAATATGTTGCGAGTACAAGACATCAATGATGATTTCATGATAATGACAGACGTAAATACAGATGTGATGCTGACAACCTGAAAGTGCAAGAAATTGAACATGTGTATTCTTCCGGCTGCACAACCATTTTGTCTATAAAATACATGGCACAGAGGCGGCTTTCGATGGTCACATCACGCGACAACTCGAATCGCGAAAAACAGTCTTACTTCTTTTGTTAGAGTGCGTAGTGCCACTCAAGCGTCACGCCATATATCGTGCGTCGATAAGTGCGGTGGAGAGCTACAGTAACTGTGGAATAATGTAGCATCTCAAGTGCTCCTCGGAGGTGTGACAGTAAACTCTTTCTGTACCCGATAATGAAAATGTGTGACATTGCTCTTGAGACCTTGCTGTTTCACGAGCGATGTCATTTGCAAGGGGCATATGCGAGTAGTAGACGAGTAATAAGGGTGCATGCATGGAGTATAAAGGACGAGTAGTAAAAGGACAAATACATGTACTATACTAGAAGTAAAAGGCGTATAAGGCGCACATACGGATAGCACACAAGTAGACAGGGGGTTCAGCAGACCAGCAGTAATAAACATTCATAAGTGGTAAACGAGTAAGCGCCGTACAAGGAATGGACAGCAAGTGACATATACAAGCAGTAGGTGAGTATTAGGGGGCATGCAGAGAGTGCACAAAAAGCGAGTATTAATGGGCATATGCAAATAGTATACGAGTAGTAAGGGGCGTGTAAGGGACATATACGAGTAGCATTACAATTAGTGTACGAATAGAAAAGGCTAGCAGTAGTGGTAGTAGTAGTAGTAGTAGTAGTAGCATGTGTAGTTTTACGTCCCAAAACCACGATATGATTATGGGGGACGCCTTACTGGAAGGCCGCAGAAATTTCGGAGTATAATGGAGGAGTATAATGGAGGAGTATAATGGAGGAGTATAATTTAGTATAATTTAGTATAATTTAGTATACCGGAGGAGTATAATTTAGTATACCGGAGGAGTATAATTTAGTATACCGGAGGAGTATAATGAGGAGTAGTAAGGGGCATACACTAGTATAGTCGTGCAGAACTTAAGAAGGCCGGATAGGCACTGCCCAGATGACAGAAGCATGGCAACCGATCACCTCCGCGCCTAAAAAAAAAAAAAAAACGAGTGGCCCCGTTATACACGTTGTTATGCTTTGCGACAGCGGAGTCTTTGGCCGTCCGGCTCATGACGTCAGTTTCGACCGCGTGCCCTGGGTGTAAACATATACGCATCCGCGTTCAGTCTGAAAGGAAATGCAGCAGATTTGTAGTGTTGCATACGACTACAGTATACGAGTAATAGGCGTATAAGAGACGGGCAATAAGGGGCATATACAAGTAGACGAGTAAATCCGGGTATGGAAATTGAGGTAAAAGAAAAAAAAAAGTGGTAAGGGACATATAGGGGTCATATACGAACGGATTACAAGTATACAGGAGGGGGCATATAAGGATGCGTTTTGTGGGTCATATACAACTATTATGCGAGTAAGGGGTGTGTATAGGGACGGGCAGTAAGGCACATATACGTGTAATAAACGAACAGCGAACAAGTATTGACAAGTAATGAGGTTATGTAAAGGATGTGTAAAATAGGGATAGTAAAAGGCACATATTAGTATATGCGCAAGGGCATATAAGCGACGAATATAAGGGGTGTGGAGCGTATCTAAATAGCCCCTTAATGAAGATTGAAAACAGGGGCATCGATGGTGATGAAGCGAATATCGCAAGCATACAAGAGAGAGAGAGAGAGAGATAAAGATGCAAGGAAAGGCAGGGAGGTTAACCAGACGCACATCCGGATAACCTCCCTGCCTTTCCTTGCATCTTTATCTCTAAAAAATGCAAGCACACAAGCTGCCCGAAACTTTACCCACAGTCACTGGGAACCGCCATGCTGTCCGCGGTTTTTTTTTACTGAAGAGTAGGCTTGCAGAGGAGATTAAAAAACGAATACTAAGTATCTTAGTAACAAAATAAAAGGCTCCCAATGAAAGAGAAAAATAAACATGTCGGACCACGTAGCTAATAGATTGAAATGGAACGAAAATGATCTATCATTTGTTTTGTTCTTCAGAAGATGATGCGTTGTTTTTAAAGTCGAGAGAATTAAAGTACAAACCGGAAATGAACAAAGAAATTGGAATTAAGAATCATCACTCTTCTATCTTTACTTTTCGCTTTATACTTCGGTCAGAAATTATACTTCACATCAGACCACGTAACCCAATGCGCGTGTAAGAGATCTTAGCAAACAGGATCCTAAAAAAAAAAAAACAATTCGCCCGATCCCACGTACCTGAGAATCCACGTTATGCGAAGCATGCGGCGAGAAGGTGACCATGTTGCAATTTTTTTTATTGAGTGACACGTCATGAAATGACACTATATATATGTAAAATTGTTGCATGCACAGATATATGTTGAAGAGATGTTATATAACTAGTTGTTTGCACTTGCGCAACGACGTCCACTAGAACATGCGTATTAGGAAACACCAGAAGCCGATATGAAGCACTGATGCTCGCGAGGACGCTCGCCCTGGACACTGTTACATAAATCAACTTCAGTGCATGACAACTACCACAATTGACGTTAACCCAACGTGACGGCTGTATGAAAGGAGTACATATGTAATGCTTATAAAATTGGGTAGGCAGCGCTGCAACCCGCATAGACGTTTCACGATGATTAGCGTCTATTTAAACAGTAGTTCTAAGACATGGCGTAGCTCTGTGGTAAAATGCTTCATTGACATGCAGAATGCTTAGGTTCGATTCCAGCTGGGACACTGAGATTTATTCTTTGCATTCGCTGGGTCGACGCTATAGCCGATGTCGGGCATTTTTCTTAACGCCCGCGCGTTAAAATTGTTCATGTGTGTTCTCGTAGTGCCTGCGTAGATACTAAGTGTAATACCCGCATGCCAGCGGCACATACCCGCCCGTGTGTATGTGCCACTGTCTGGCGGGAAGTGTTTGACGACGTACGCGACGGGATTGTGACATTATTCATGTCTTGACGAGCGCGTCACATTCTTCAAACCATCTTACCCTCCCACGATAATTTTGGTTCACGCCAAGTTAAGGGGCAGACTACGAGTGCACCAAAACGTAAGTGGCTAGATAGATAGATACGCATGAAAGTCGCCGAAGTTTGCTAAGAAATCCTTCGCATTTAAAAATGACTTGTTATGCGAAGATTTCACGAAACAAAACAAGCTTCAGCGTGCTAAAGCTGCCAAACAGGAAAAGTTTTTTTGGTTCTCGCATTGTTTGCTTTGAGAAAAAGATAAAGGGACTAAAAACCAACCAAACAACAACAAACAAACAAACAAACAAACAAACAAACAAAAAGGTTTGTGAAGCGTGGCACAGCTCAGCCTCTGTGCCACAAGCGTTACGTACTGGCGTTGCAATGCCTTCCAACACCAGCATTGATTATCACTCCCAGCAACTGACCACGAAGCTAAAACCCAGCACTCAAGCACGTGCGCGAAGGTCACAACGTTTAGTCGTAAGTGCACACGCTATTGTTTCGACATGATAAGGTCATATGGGGGAGTTATTTTGTGACTGTTTCCATGTGAAATGCAGAGAGAATGAGTGTGGTGCTACGCTTGACAAGAGCAGAAAACTACATAGCTTTAGTTGTAGCTATTCGAAAAAAGATGATGCGCATTAACCACTGGTTAGTTTTTTCAAAACACGCGTGTATCCCATCTCTTGGTTATTGACAGCGCAAAAGGCCTAGAACCAGCGAAAGAACACAGAGAACAGCGATCTGTACTTTGTACACAGTTCAAGAATGACGTGTCTAATCGCTGAAGGATTCACTTCAGTTGGTTACTAAGCTGCTGGCGGTTTTCTACTGCACTACCTTGAGCTACGAACAGCTGTAAATTACTTAGAAAAATTTACGGTTTGTTCGTTTTGTTTGGCTTGTGCAATCAACACACTGCGGCGCAGCCACATTGACCAAGAATCTGCATCTTGAAGACGAGTTGAAGATAGTTTGAACAATGAATGATAAAAAAATATGGTACTATGCCACTTCTTTTTCTCCTGTTGAAATTGTGCAAAAAAAAGTCGGCAAGTTCAATGTCATTTTGTTTCCCAGCTTCCCGCTAAAAACACAAAAAAAGTGTTCGAGTGTTTTTCAGGCTGAAATGGTCGATACACTTTTTATGACCTGCGTCTGGACACTTTGGGACACGCCGTACCAGCGAACCGCTGACAGAACTCTTGAAATGGCGTGGGAGTGTTTACGTCGCCAATTTATCAAAAGGACAGCACAGTTCAACGAAGTATGAATAAATGTGCTATTATTATGCTCGATAATGGGGCCCAGCTACGTGAATATACATTCGTACTATGCAGCGACGTATATGGGTGCTCGCACTCGTTACTCTGTGCTAACGAAATTGCGACACAATGAATTCTCGTTGAGTTTAATGTCTGGTGACTGAAATAGAATGACTGAACTGCGTGGCGGCCGACGACTTTTTCGCCACCGGGCAGTGTTGAGGGATCGCTCGGGGAGCGCACTGAATAGTAATGCGTCCAGAAAGGTCTTTTTTTTTCCCTCTCATACCGCACTGCGGTGGCACAGTATACGGGAAGAAAAGCAATGAAACAAGCATAACACCGAGAGCAGCATTGCGATCCGAGCAACCCTTTTCAATCACAGAGGACAGTACCATTGTTCATGCTGTCCCTCCCCGTCCCCACCTCTTTTGGTTTCCTGAGAGATGTTTTAAAAGAGCCCACTACGTGGACTGACTATCTATTTCAGCGCGGGCTTGATGGAACTCCAAAGCAGGCGATCAGGTGGCATTCGCCAGCGCCAGCAGTCAAGCCCTTCCCGTTTGGCGTGCAGTAACATGGACTTTGCTTAACAAAAACGCTTGTGGTCTAACGTTCGTTCTAACGCTTGTGATCTACGTAGTCTAACGTTCGCTAGTGTCGGGGTTCGCCCTCCTTCTTATATTTTGTGCGTATGCCTGTATGTGTGCGTGAATGCAAATCGCATCAAAAATGAAAAAAAAAAATTGGAGCGTGAAAGGTTAACACCACCCACCGCACCTCTAGCCGCTCTTGCACTACCAATCACAACCATAGCCTTCGTTCAAACTCAATGCAGTGGCGGTGTCGCGCGTAATTGCACAATACCCCAAGGTTTTATTGCAAGACTTTTTTTTTGCTCCTGTTATCGTAAGGTTGCATTGCTGCCCATTTAGAAGACAAAATTTCTTTACAGCAGGAGCAAACGCTCGTTACGGACGTTGTTGTCAGAGTGTACTATAAAGACGTTAACTGGGACAGTTTGGACAGTCATGGCATGGCACGGAGAAAAGCAAGCAGGCACACGTTGCACGATCTGCCTCTCGCTTTGCTCATTGTTTGCCCTTTCTCTCGGTTTTCCGTTAGCGCAGTGTAGTCAGCAAGTACCTGGAGAAAGCCAAAGTGGCGGAAGAGGGTCCCGATACCGGAACAGAACGAACCGTGCTCGAGAAGTTCCTGTCTATGCCCGGCGTTGACCTCAAGGACGTCTTCGCCATGATACTCGACATGTTTCTCGCCGGCATCGACACGGTAAGTTCTGCACTTTCTCAAGAGTTGTCCTGTAGAACGATTTACGGTTACGCAGCTAATATGATTGTGCACCGCTTTCAGAGACTGTGAAACGTGCTCATTGACCTCCAGCAGCTCACTGACAGCCTCAAGCTTGTCATGAGCAACAACTACGTCGAACGTATTTATCTATTCTAAGCGTACTTTAAACAATAAAAAAACCTCCCCGTAATGGGGATTTTTTACCCTTAATCTTAGTGGTATCTTTCAATAACACTGCAGGTAAAATGAGGTGACCTGGTTTATCTCAAGATGCTAATAGCAGCTTTTATTGCCTGATCATTCTCGCAGTTCAATTGCGAATGAGTTTAATTCAAATACGACAGCTCGTGTGCGGGCGTACAAGCATTGCGCCTGTAACATTGGAAATTGAAATTACTTCGTTAAAGCCTCGACCACAGCTCCATAGTTGAAAAGTATGTAGCTTTTTTTTTGTTTACATTTTCAGATTTCATAAGTATCAGCAATGCATTATCATGCGAAAAAGGTTCCCTTATTCCATGGCATGAACTCATCAGCGCTGGGATCCGCCAAGGGTATACCAATTCCGTTCACTGACCGAGGTCTACGCTTCTTAGGTTCGGCGATGGGACGAGAACAGTGGCAGTTATCGTGACGCGGGCAACGATGAAATCGCGAAGCGGGGGTCGAAAACACATTCCTCACACTCGGCTTGTCAAAAGCTGCGAGTAGCGAAGATAGCCCAAGACTGTCTTGTCAGCTCGCGTCGAAATAACGCTGATACGTGGTCGTAAACCACTTGAAAGGCAGGTCAATGTTACGGTCCACTTTTTGCGATAAGCACTAGCTGACGCAAGCGCTACAGTCAGCCTCTGCTTTACGTAATGCCTTAACTTCGCGCGAGCTGCACATCGAGCTTATATACGAGCTCATTCATGTCCGTGTGCCACAGAATTTTACTCTCTCAATTCGAACCAACGTTTTTTTTTCAGCCTGCTTATACCCCTGTCACACGGCAAATCTAATGTCATTTACAACGAATGGCATTTGTTTGTAATGCCATTTGTTTGCTGTCACACGTCATATGTGATGTCATTCGATGAAAGGACATTTGCAATCGAATGAGTTCATAAAACTCATTCGCATTCGGTTTCGGACCGAATGAGTAGTCTCGACGCCAGAGGCCTTTTACAAAGGTTGCTATCGGCTCGTGTATCCGTAGCTAATTTAATTTGTTAGTACTTTATTTTTAGTATATTAGTCAATAGTTGACTTGTGGACATTAAGGTACACCCAAATGTTTGTGGAAAAAAATTGTGCTTCAGCTACAAACATAGTTTCCTAAAATTAACCAGAGGGGACTCTGTCACTGCGATCGTTCAGCGACCGTGGGAATGATGGGTAGTACACACATTTGTCTAGTCCTTCGTACTTGCGGGCGGCGAATCGTACTTGCGGCTTCGTTTATTGCGGTGTTTTTCGGTTTTGTTTCGAAGGAAAGAACGAACCCTTTGAACTTCGTGACCCGATTTGGAATAGTGAGTCTAAAAGAATAAGGCGGTGAAGCGCAAGCGCTGAACAATTGCTGTTTTTTTTTTGTTTCGTGAGAAAACAGCTCCAAGCCACACAAAGAGAAATACGAAGATTCGCAGGCCAGAAGTACGAAGATCAGACAAATGTGTGTACCATTCCCATGCTCGCTGAAGCGCCGTGCGTTGCAACTCCCATAGACACTAGCGCCAGAGTTCCCCCTAGGGTATATTAGGAAGCTCTATGGCTATGGCGGCCATGTTTATGGCGGCCATGTATGGTTATGGCGGCCATATTAGGAAACTCTATGGCGGCCATGTTTCAGTTCATTCTGATGTCGTCACTGATGCTGCCGTAGTTGCCTCGGTAGCCGGTTCAGTGCGGTTTGTGTTTATCCGCAGAGATTCGCATGTGCGTTTATCATGTGTGAGCCGGAGCCCAGAGGCCACGTACAGTGGAAGCAAACGGAGACGTTTGTTTTATTTCAAATTTGGTAGGACCGCATTGGCGACGTCCAGAGATGCTAAAAGAATTTGCCAAGTGTACGCGGCGATAGTCGAGGTGCTCCAGTGTTGGGTGTTGTTATGAACGCGCTGCGGGTTGGACATTGCTCTCTCACCCTCTTTGCTGGCCTTCCTCCGAGAGGAGGCGAAAAACTTTATTCATCCCAAGAGGGAAAGGTGCGGTGGTGGAGTCTCAGAGGAGCCTATCCAGCATAGGTCTCCGCTACCCTCTTGGCCCAATCCAAGATCTGGTCCTGCACATAGCTGCACATAGCTGCACATAGCAAGAGCTGCACATAGCAGCCTCCCACTGCTCCTTACTATTAATGTGTAGAGAATTAGGTGGTGGTTTTTGAGTACACCCCCACATGATATGGTCTAGGTTAGCTCTTTGTTGACAGAAAATGCACAAAGGGGAGGGGTATATCGCAGGGTGTATAAGATGGCGAAAAGATGGGGAGGCACTAGATGCGTCCGTCGGAGACAGTGGGTGCGTTCAAAGAGACGCTGGACGCTGGAAAACGGCTGCGCATATAACCCTGCAGCAATTTTTTTTTGTAATACAAAAGTTATTTCTGAGGGTACGAACGTGTTGGATACAAGATTGGATAGCTCTTTATTTCTCCGAAACCCGCGGCTTGATAGGGCTACTAGGGTTATTTGTTTTCGTCGTGTGTCAGCGCGCAGGTAAAATGACATTAGGTCCACTTAATTTCGCTCGTTGTAAATGACATTAGATTTGCCGTGTGACAGAGATATTACTCTTCATGCTCGCATGAATCCATTAAACTTCGACATGTAATAGGAAAACGTTTCATGCAATTATAATGCTTTACTGACGGCGGGTGGTCAATGGGAATGAGCCCTAAACAGATGAGAGAGGCCAGCCTTCCTAATAATTCAAGGGATGCGCCAACTCCGTTGTATCAGAAAGGGGGCACGCCATTGAAATGGCTATTTTTCGCTCTGTATGTTATGGCGAAAAAAATTTTAGGCTAAGCTCGCCTCGAAGAACCTGGGCCAACAACGACGTCTCGTCGCCAAGGCCTAGGAGGCAGCGAAGGCCAGAGGGCTCTTGGGATGAGGGGACCTCCCACCTAGGGTAGAAGCACAACCTGCACCGCTATACCGTTTTGAACAATAAAGTTTATTCATCCTCCTCTTTTTTGTGGGGGGAGCATGGGCCTGGTGTGCCGCCCCTGGCTACACCTATGGTCAACTCTGCCCCACACATTTACTCAGTAGAAGGTGCCCCGTCACTATGCATGGTAGTGAGCATCGTTACGTGCATCATTAGGTGCGTCACTGTGAATATGCATGGTTATGACAATGCTAATTTAATCTGTTGCTCCGGTCAAACTTAACGACCTGCGCCCCCCACCCCCTTATTGGAGAATATTGCGTAGACATCTATGCCAAATTCATTATAAACAAAGATTACCCTAGTTCGATCGAATCGCTTTCCTCCCACTTAACTCGTATTTTGGCGTAACCTGGGGGGCCTCCGCGTTCACTTCGTAGGTTAGAATCATGTGACTAATTATGCTCCGATCATTCCAGACGGCGTACTCGACCACGTTCATCCTCTACTACCTGGCCATGAACCGGCGGTGTCAAGAGAAACTGGCTCTCGAGCTGGCATCCCTGCTGCCAACCAAAGACTCAAAGCTCACCGCGGAACAACTTCACGAGGCCGTGTACCTGAAAGCGTGCATCAAGGAAAGCTTAAGGTACTCTACGACGTTGCCGTATTATTTAGGCGTAGGCAAATTGGTTGCGCAGCTCCAAATAAACAACGATGAAAACTTATGCTTTCCGTCAGCCAGACACGGGAGTCTTGTAAGGGTCGCTTCTCTCTGTCCTCTGTTGCTAAAAATACCTTTGAATAATCTGCAGTTACGGTGCATGATAATTGCAAATAAGCGATCTGAATGAAGAACTACCTTGAGAGTACCAAATATCTCATTACAAAGGCATAAGTTACGTCTCACTGAAATGGTTAATGTACTGCTTGAAGCGATCGGGTCTTGCTATATCTAAATAAAAAAAAACTGCTTAAGCGTTCTGTTTCAATTGGCCTGTGCCTACTGTTACGAACAGTATAATCGTTATATTAGGTATGGTGCTCTTTCAGGCCGAGGCTTGTTGTCCGTCGCGCTCTATCAAACAGAAACCGAAACTGAATACTTGCACAACGAAAACCAGAACATCCGTGTATAAAAACCGACTTTATGTGTGCATCAATGAAGTCATGACAGCACAATACATGACCACCTGCGCCGTCTGCCTGTCAATACATCCGTCTATCTATTCGTCCTTTTACTCGTCTGCGATTTCAACGCAGACATTGTGGAGGCATTAACTACAGAGCCACCGAGAGGCACCTCACGTAGACATTATGGACCTTAGAACTTTTGTTCGCCCACTCCACATCCTTCATTCGTGTAGACACGTTCAGACCCAAACAAAGCAATAGGTTTATCTGATAGGCAGACAGCAATAATCCGAGCTGAATGAGAGAAAAATATCTCAGCAGATTCATCGCATTTCTAGTCGAACCGACAAGGTACGGATTGCGACGGTTGTCCTAATGTAGGACCTTCACACTGTGCATGTTTTTACAACATTGTTTGCTCTGTACTGCTGTGCATGTGATATGCAACCGTGTTAACAGCGTTTTTCAACACAGGTACGTATGACGCAGAACAGGGAAACACAAAGCCTCTGAACTTCCTTTGGCGGGTCAAAGATTTATATGAGGTTTATACATTTGACCTTACGTACGATATATTTAAAAAATGATTACTTGTCTATCATGTCCAATTGAATGTTTTCTATTTTGACGCTATGCAAAAGGTCGCATTTTACTTTTTACCACCATCAAAACAATGTGTGTGTGGTGTTTAGAATAAATTGTGAACGCTTCAGAGCCCTATAATAACTCTAGTAGGGGCGAGCCGCAGGCTAACCCGATTAGAATACGTACAGTCCTGACGAACCCTAGTGTCTTCTGTGTGTTTAGAACAAATGATCGATGATTTAGAGTAAGAGGTACTTTACTATGGTATAGCAATACGCTGTGTGTTTTAGAACAAGTTTTTAACGATTTTGAGTACTTGGTGCTCTACTATGAGAGAGCATAAAGCTGTCCCGTGTCGGCGAGGCCTCACAATGATGAGGCCTCGCCGACAAAAAGTCTAGGCATAAACCCCTAGCGTTTGCCACTAATTCCGTTCATCTAACAACCGTTCAGCAGTTCTGCAATGCTGCCTGTGAAAGCAGTGCGAACGTCGTCATGACACGCTCCCACAATTATGTCACTGGTGTCGTTTCAGAAACTTAAGTGCCCTGGTAAATTTATTCCGTTATTCTGATACCACTGCTCTGTCATGCATCCTATTATGACCCGTAACCGCGAACCTTCAGTTAATAATATGCCTAGTGCATATATTCCCCAACAAACCGTAATTTCGGTTTGAGTGAAAACCAGCAAGCACGGCCATTTTTCACAGCAGAAGGGCAGGCGCCACGGCAACTGGTTCGATGAAGTACCCCAAGAATGTGGATCGCGCGCACGCGCGCACGCACACACGCACGCACGCGCGCACGCACGCACGCACGCACACACACACACGCACACACACACGCACGCACACACCACTGTGCTTCTTAGTCTATGCTTAGTTAACTCTTTCCGTCATAGGAATAGGTAAAATGGGTCCATATAGACGGTTTTAAGATTGCAAGCGCTGTGCCCCCGAAAAAAACTTCCGGTCACGTCATTACCATTTCGTAACGTCAAGACCAAAAGGACGTTTTCACGTGTTTTCAAGCGTAAGGAAAGTATCTTAATAGTTTTTCATTTAAAAAGAACATGCGTGATGTTCAAGGCAATCTCTGGTTCTTATGTAGCTGAAAAGAACATTTATTTGAATATATTTACGAAATGAAGGAAGGAAAGTGTAGAAAATCGGTGAGCTATTTTCTAAGGCTCTTCTTTCCCACCTATGCTATTCAGGCACAACGGTGGATGAAACCGGAAGTCGTCAAGGGTCTGTATTTGTAAACAGTGAAATGGTCTATAGAATTAGTTTAATGTTAATGTCTATTCAGAACTCCATTAAACGCTCCGTGTGCCCGCAAAACTGGTCGAAAAAACGAAGATGGCTACGCCTAGCAGGGTCAACGTGGCACTTTCGCTGGGTGCTGTGCTTGAGTTTCTTGGTTGTGGTGTCAGATAGTGATGCTTCGTCGAAGGCGAAAAGGTGCTGGCCGAGGTACCGCCTCATTCTCATTGGCAAAAAAGAATTTACTGGCGAAACAGTGGAAACAGATTGTTTTTAATCCATAATTGAAATGTAGTCTGCGAATGTGGTGTCACAATTACACGTAGGTAGACTCTAAAACATGTGTCTTATATTTGTTTTTGTTCGCCTTTGTTTCATGTTCGAACAAGACTCAGTCCCATTGCGATTGGAGTCGGCAGGGTCCTCCCGGAAGACATCGTGCTGTCAGGATTCAATATTCCAGCAGGGGTAAGTTTGACAACGCCTAATGCGTGTTTTTATCTCTACAAACGCAAATTTAGCGACCCGAGAAACTTCACAGCCCTCTTTTCTATTGACGCTTCCTAGTAAATTTCACGGTGAACAGAACACTCACAAGCTTTTTGTATTTTTACTGGCGCAAGAACATGTGCTTACATGGTGAACGTCAATGTAGCGCGAAACGCTGTCAGAAACTAAGCTTTCCTGACTAGCCTTATCGATATACTGCCACGTTTCATGGGGAACAGAATGAGAGACAAAAAAAAATGCGTTTGCTTATTCATGTGAATGGTGGTATTCAACTCATTGCATCATTATTTGGGCTTTGTATGATCTTTCTTCCTCTCTTTTTTTTTCCGTATTCTGATGAGCAAGAAGTAAATAATTAGTTAGGTCGTGCTACAGCAATGCGTAATAGGTGGAGCACTAGCTAAACAAGTACAAACAAACCAGCAAAAGCGTGATTTAGGGCGAAGGCGCGTAGACAGTGGCCCAGGGTGAGCATCCCCTTCATAGGCAGAATTCGTTTCGCTCTCTAGTAAGAGTATAAAGGGTGGTGCACACCGGCGACTAGCAGCGGTCGCGAACGGTCGCAAAGCGACTGCTTTGGCTAGTCACTTCCTGACCGATTCTTCAGTCGCGCGACTGCGGTCGCAAAGCTGCTGGAACCAATCAGCGATGCTCAATTTTTGTTTGTTTTTTCATTGCGCTGGCGAGACCAAATGAAAACAATAAATGCGGCGCGCTCGGTTCGCTCCGCTCACTCATCTGGCGGCGATCAGCTGATCGGCGCTGTTCTCCAGAGTTCTCGCTGAAAACGAGATCCGCGGACGTGACTATCCGCTTTTGCGACTTCCGGTATCTCTCACATGCAGCCTCTGCCGGTGTGAACATCAGTCGCTTTTCGGTCGCCAGTCGCGAATGGTTGCGCGACCGCTGCTATAGTCACCGGTGTGCACCAGCCTTAACGTTGCATGGGGTTCGTACGTCGGCGCGGTAGAGAAGAGCGCATATGTTACCCCAGCGTAAAGTGCAGTAACTGCATTTTATTCGCCCACAATCTGCTCAAGCCGCGCCCAACAAAGCGCCGCGCCGTGTATTTGCACACGCGCCGCCGACCGCCTATTCACACTATACACCACGGCGAGGATGCTGCCACGTGTAGCCTGGTCGCGCCGCAAATAGAACATGGTGCACTTCATGTTAAATTGACGACACCCGGTAAAGCGCGACTGCTGTCGAATGAGGCGGTTGAGAGATAATCCAACCCAAGCCTTCTAGAGAGAATAAAATGAGGGAAAGGCAGGGAGGTTAACCAGAAAATGGAGCATCCGGTTTGCTACCCTGCACTAGGGGAAGGGGGAATGGGGAAGAAAGATTGGAAAGAAAGCGAAGAGGGAAATAGACGCGCGCGAAAAAAAAAGGGGGGGGGAGGTGGGGTGCTACAGTCTACACAATAGGCCGCTGCCACGCAAAAAGTTTAGTAAGGCCTTCACTGATTTTCTGTGAGCACACAAATCATGTCGTCTTTCCAGCACTGATTGTTCAGACAAAGGTCTGTCGTAAAGGCGAGCTAACGCAGCAGCTAGTTGCCGTCTTTGCACGCTGTAACGAGGGCAGTGACAGAGAACGTGCTCTATAGTTTCATCGCTGCCGCAATGACCGCAAGCAGCACTGTCTTCTAAATTTCAGCAGTACCACTCTGCAAGGAAGCACGCACACACAGTGCCGTCACGGCGCGCTGTTCCACGCTCTCCATGTACGAACTTATCCGCAAACAATAAGTGTTGTGTTTTAGTCCTACGTAAAAAATTCACACAGCACGTTCACGACGCGACATCAAAGTCCGCGTCGCATGTAAATTGTAAAAAAAACGCCCTTCAATGAACTAAAGTAGGGCAATCTCGCGCCAGATAAGGAAAGAGGAGACAACTAAAGCGAACGTCTCCAAGCGGTTCTAGAGAACAATACACTTACTCCTGTAAATCTCGTAGACAATTACGTAGTCTGGAGCTGCAAAAAGCTGCCATGCGCAGCTACAACGCCGCACTTCTGAAGGCTGTATTGAGGTGGGCTGATATAGTCGAGGAGGCCTACCGCGAACAGGATCACTTGTCCTTTCACAGCCCCTTTTCCGTTAGATCGCATGTTATTATTATTATTATTATTATTATTATTATTATTATTATTATTATTATTATTATTATTATTATTATTATTATTATTATTATTATTATTACATTAGATCTTAACGTCGCAAAACTACGATATGATTATCAGGGACACCGTATAGTGCAGGGCTCCGGAAATTTCAGCTACCTGATGTTCTTAAACGCGCACTAAAATCATATATACGAGCCTCAAGGTCGCATGAAGTTCTTTCTCTCTCTCTTTCTCTATGCATTTTCTTCTTCCTTTCCTTGTGTCACGTGTGGCTTGCGCGCAGCTGCTATGGTCTGAGTCATGCAGGTAATGGCGTATAGGAATCGGGCAGCGCTCGTGTAGTTTGAAGCCATTTTGTGTCAATATCGTGTAGTAAAAAAAAGTTCTGGCGCGCCATGCGCGCCTTTTTCTTCCCTCTGGAACGCAGACTGTGCTCATCATGCACAACCAGGTGGCCTGCCGACAGGAGAGCAACTACCCGGAGGCCGACGTGTACCGACCCGAACGATGGCTCAAGGAGCGAACCGAGGGGACGCGGGCGCACCCTTTCACGCTGCTGCCATTCGGCTACGGACCACGAATGTGCATCGGCAAGCGCTTCGCCGAGACCGTCATGTGCCTGCTCGTTGCCAGGGTACGGACCTGCCGTCGCTGAGTCCGCCTCATTCCCGTTAAAGACGTGCTAGAAGCAAATATTCAGTTTACTTCGGGTAATTCTTCTATATAGAGCCGGATTAAAAAGATGGGTTAACGGAAGTTTTCGAGCGCAAATAACCAAACCAACCACCTTGATGCTTCTGCGTCTACCATAGCGCCGCTCGTTTAGCTGTGAACGCAAACTGCTTAGGTGTAAACGGCAAACGTAGAAGTCAGATATAACTGTACTAAAACCCATTCAAAGTAATCTAAAGCTGCTTCGTGTTTCCTTCCCCCGAAAAGCGCAGCAGCAAAACTTTCCTTCACCGCCACATGCAGGAAAGCTAAGGGACCTGAGGGTAAACGTCACATGTGATGTGATAACACGGACTAAGTTAGTTTCGTAAAATTGGGTGTAATGACAGTTTCCTCTAGCACGGCTTTAACAATCGATGTCGACGGCCTCTGGCATGAATTCCACGACTGTCTGGGTGCAAGGTAAACGCAACGATACGTTGCCTCATTTCAGCAGATCTGACGATCTGATGATCGGCCGACCCGCTGAGACAGACTGTTGGACTTAGCTGCATCGGTTTATATGCGGCACGTAGGTGCTGTGGACATATCAAAATGCACTGCATTGGCGTTCTGACAAGTGATTGCGTAGACATGTAAGAATACGGTCGGTATAGCCTCCGGGCTAATATTAATTGGTGGCCGAAACCGCAAAATGAAGGAAATCGCTCAGAACATTTTCACTACGTTGGGTTATAGAAGTGAACATGAATCAAAGTACACGGTGTTTCAGCCTTTCGCTTTAATCAAAATGCGACTGACCCCGCCGGGATTCTGTTCCGAGAACTCCGGGTCATCAGTCGATCTCTGTGGCCCGTTGAAACGTAGGACCATTTCCGTGTGTCGTAGCAGTAAAGGAACGTTTAACGAAGAAGCGTAGTAAGGAAATCATTCGAAAAGAAAACAAGAAGTTATACGTCTTTTGTGGACAATAAACGAAATATTGAGGATGTTTAATCCTTCCGATATCCTTGAAGCCAATTATCGACAGTAATTTGTTAATGGTTTGCTGCTGCATGTAGGAGCTAGAAAAAAATTATAGTGCACCTTTTTTAAATATTAAACTCTTTTACGCTGTCGTCTTCCACGGCTTCACTGACGTATTTCCGTCACAGATATGATATAAAATATACACTAACAGATTGCAAAGAAAAAAAACCGAGAAGCAGGCACCTCCCGATTTGCAGATGCTAACGGCAAGCCATTTTTGTACAACATATACCATTGGGTGGCCCTCAGATCTCCGCAACTTCAGCGCGTTTTCAAAATCAGTGGCGAGATGGCGCGAATGTCTCGTGTTGGGCGTTGGGTAAGAGTTGGGCGCGCTTTAAAGATCGTCGCCTCTCACGTTTCGGTGACCGCCGCCTACACGGAGTGTAGTCTTTCCTGAGCGCGCACTTACCAGACACGTAATTAAGGAGAGCACGAAGGTCCCTTCGCTCGCTGCCGCGGCCGCGTTTCCGAAAGGAGCAGCCTGCTCTCACACTAAGAAGTAAGAAGTGTGACAGTTGTTCGCGCTTGTCCTGTGTGTACTTGTGCATTCCTTTCTTCCGTCTTTCTGTCCGTGTGAACAGCGCGCTTTAAGTGAAGAGTTGTGACAGTTGTTGGTCAACGCTCGTCATTTACGTGCATGTTTATTTCGTGCGTGTTTTCTCCTTTAGATGCGTGCTGAAAGTTTCGAGCTGCTTGCTGTTCTTCGCGTGACTTCGCAATTTGTTGCTGTAGTATACATTCATTCGCCCTTGTGGCGAAGAATGGCACAATAAACGCTCAACTCCCTCTGTGAACACACGTTTCACTTTCGTGTTATAGCTATTCGTAGAAAAAGGGATCAGCCTTGTTTTTTTTTTTGACCATGCGCTCGCTGTCTCGACAGAGAAGTGCTCAGAAAAAAAAAAGTAATCGATATATCGATAGACCACACGTGCCACCATTTTACGAAACCGCGGAGAATTAAGTCTGGTTTCTCTTTTTTTTTTACATGGCGGGGATAGTCCATGTACACGTTACGGTAAGTGCTAGGATGGTGACCTGCCTTGTAGTACGTTCTTACGTCTTTCGCGGAGTGGCGGAACGTGCTTCATTATTCGAACCGCTAGAGTCCTCCGCAGCACTGTGTGCTATTGACGAACAGAGAATGTCGGTCATTCTAAATTTATGAATGGCGTAGATGAAGAGCTGGTAAATAAATCACGGAAGGTGCATTATAATTTCGTAAGTGGCAGCAGAAAACGTCGGCTTGTTCGGTTAAAAAAATAGCATATCCACGGAGTGCATGATGATGATTTAGACGGATGAAGCCTCCGTCAGTCCGTCTGCGCTGCCGTCTGTCCTTTCATTCTCTCTACCGTCCGTCCGTGCGTCTATCTATGCGTCCGTCCCTTTGTACGTCCGTCCGTCCGTCCGCCCGTCCATCCGCTCATCTGTCTCTCTCTGCCCGTGCGTTGGTCCATCCGTCCGTTTATCTGTCTATCTCTCTGTCCGTGCGTTCGTCCATCCGTCCGTCAATCTAGTGAACACTCCATGTACCACCACCTCGCATCTTTTCATCATATATTCATCATATAGAAGTACCGCCATCCAGCAACATTCGAAGGACTAAACGAGAGGTGGCACGGCTGGACTAGAGGAGCGGCACCGCCTCTAGTTCATGGAACTGTGTGCCCAACAGTCGCTAAACCTTGCTAAAAACCAGAGGTTACACCCAGCGAGTTCAACGTGGCGCAGTCCGGCTGTGGGGATAGATATACGTACTACTACTACAACTACAACTGCATACATCGTGGAGGCACGACCCACGGCTTAAGGAGCTTCGCCCCTAAAAAAAAAAAAGATTGTTAGGCTTGAATATCTCGCGAGAGCTATATTTAGCCAGTCCTGTTGCTTGGCATACTACTATCAAAGTCTGCCTATCAATGGCAGTGAAAACCTTGTGAATTGAGCCTCTCACTTTTGCAAAGGCGATTGCTAAACATGAGTTGGTGTTTCTTCTCTCGTTAAGCGGAAGCCTTTGTGAGTTAAAGACTTCAGGGCTGTCGCCGGTAGCATAATGCGCAAGACAACCTATCTAAATTACTAAGTGGCGCATCCTAGTCATTACACAAGAAAATTTATTCCCACATTTGGATCCGTGAGAACTGCACATGAAGGAGGTCCTGAAACCTGCGCCGGTTACGTGTGCATTTGTACGCGCAGTTTTGCAAAAACTGATGCTCCCTCGATCGTGGGCTTAACGGCAATCAGCCGTTTCTGTCATGTTAAAGTGTTGTTTTATAGAATTCACTAGTAACTTCATGTTGCTACATTTTGTTGTTGCATTGTATTGTTTCACGCATGACCATGACTGTTGCCGCGACAGAAAAATATTAGGTAGACATTGATGTAAGCTTTGTTTACGCCAATTTTTTTTTTTCGATTAGGGGAGAAATCTTAGGTGGGTGCAGGGGAGGGGGTAGGGGACGGCCGCCCCTAGTCACCTAAGAGGGAAGGGGGTGCGAAGAACATAAGGGTGGGGGGCTCTGCGACTCGAGGGGGGGGGGTGCAAAGTCAGCCCCATTCACTGACATGATAGGGAGGGGGGTCTCTGCGACAAACCTTCACGCCCCCCCCCCTCCCCTGAAAGGGGACCCTGCAGCGTGATCTTCTAACGGACGAACACTAATTCTTTTCCTTATCTTTTCAGGTTGTTCGCAATTTCGTCTTGGAGTACAAACACGAGGATCTCGACTGCTTCACTCGGCTCATGAACGTTCCGGACAAGCCACTCAAGATGACTTTCATCGACAGGAATTCATGAGCCTCGAATTACCAAAGATGCGCCGGATTTTTTTCTTTTTAATCGCGGTCGACGCTTTCAAACGAGGAGAGCTTTTAGCCATGTGCGCTGCTTCTGGCGATGAAAGAAATTCCAGCGTCCCTCTCCACTTTGGCTGAAGTCTTTTTGCCAAAAAAAAAAAAAAGAATGGTGAAAGCATGCAGTGCCAACTTGGCAAGCGAGGTGCTACAGCCGTTATTTGTATAGCTCAACGATGCTTCGTAGTGACGGAGCCCGTCTCCATTTGTCTCTCTTGCCTTCCCGTGACTTGGCCGCTTCTCACGAGGTTTGGGTTTTCGCGTTTACATCTGCGATAATACTTTGCGACCAACAAGTCACTGAAACGGCACAGATATCAGTTGTCAGGGGTAATGCTGATTCATAATATTTTTTTTCTATAAGGCCAGGGGTTCGAACTTCGACCACACCAACCGTATTCTGGTAAAGAAGAGTCCCGACTAACGACGTACGATATCTTGTTAGATTCAAGTGTGCCTGAGGCGGGGCATTGTAGCGACCGCCATGTTTTATTCATATTGTTAGAGCAATTAATTGCGGCAGTTGTGGCGTACGTTATGCACATAAAGAAAAAGGCTTGTTTCAAGGAACTACACGCTGAAGTAACGTACACTACAGTCGACACTACCAACGGTACAAAACCCAACTTAAACGTGTGAGCGTGCCTGAAAAAAAATGCGCAATTTTAATTTTAAACCCTGCATTCCGGTTACATGTTCTGTTTTATGGAAACATAGATGACCTCACACAGAAGTTCTATATCCATATTTTGCTTTTGTAATCTAAAAAAAAGGAAGACCAACTGATTGTGTTGATTCATTTTATTTGTATGTTCTGTTATTATTATATTTTTGTGCCAAGAGGCATGGCTCTGTAAGGTCTTCTTACTCATTTTCTGTTGGAAAAAGGAAAGCTATACTGACTTTGAGAAGTCTATGTCGATGTTTGTCGATGTTTCGAACTCGTGGGTACAAATGCGTCGTCGTCATATACTTTGTTCAACAGACTGTAAGGTGTCCCCCTTTTTTACTGAAGAATACGAACGATGACTCCTTTCTCAGACTATCCTCAGTTTTGTGTTTCTTCCTTTTTTGGTAACATGATGTGTAAAAAAAAAGGCACGGTAACTGGGTAATTATCGAATGTCATGCAATCTGAACTGATAGAAGTCGCAATCATAATAGCCTATGTTCACAAAGAAACCTCACGCGGAAAACGTTAGTAAGAAATTATACCTAACCCGTATGCCAGACAGATCATCCTGGTGCTATAGGCGCATCACCAAGGTTGACCAATAGCGCAAACCACTAATGAAGGAATAAAGCCCCCGTTCTCATGAGTGGCTCACTGAGCTCTCGGAAGAGGTCGTCGTTTCTTGTTGGCCCGTGTCTACACACAATTTACAATTGCTATGGTTAAACAACACAAGGCCTCCGAGAGCGCAGGACTGTACAGCAATACTCTTACGGATGCCGTCCTACGCTTAAATGCGTTCGAAAGAAAGCATCGTCAAATTTCGATAATATTTCGTTCTCTTGACATCTTGTAAGTTCTTTGAGGTCCTTTGTTGGTGTTGTTACAACAAGTGTTTTTTTTTTTTTGCGTGTCTCTGATGTAGATAAAAACTAAATATATTCAAGTATAACAAGCACGAGATGTACAATGTTTTCTTTTTGCTAACGGTGAAAACTGAATTTGGTTGAACATATAATGATTCGTATTTTTCTGTTACTACATTCAATACAAAAATTTATTAAATGTCAAAAAAAAAGGAGATAGAAATAATGCTTCCAATGAGGCACTTGGAAAGATGGCTCCGTGGTGTAGCAGGCTGTCGCTGGTTCCACTTGAGGTATACCCGAAGCAACAAAGTGTCTGCTTCGAAGAACCCACTTGAAAATTCTTGCCCTTAAAAAAAAATGTTACTTTCCTCGTGCATGTTCACTGTCACTGACACTGGAACATGAATGTACTTGTGTAATGCGCCTTAAGTGTTATTTTCAGAGTTTCGGTGTTTGCCTGCATCGCTTTCTTTTGTATGTGGTGATGCTCAAAATAGTACTGTACAGAGAGACCAATAAAATGAGAAGTGGACTAGTTACAACATACACAAGGACGTCGTTTGATTTTATTCTGTTTGGGTGGGCCTGACTTTGTAACATGTATATCGAGATTTGGGCTAGTCGGTTATTAATGGTAATAAAAAAAAAAGAACGCGATCGTTTCATACGGGGACTGTACCAATAGTTCCTATTTCCTATTTGTCTATTGACCCATACATGCGCGTGCTGCGTCCTTCGATTCTGTCCTCGTTTGAAGAAGGCACCCTGTTTTCTAATCACTATTCGTTTCTTTGATTTCAAAGCAGAGTTATGCGACAAAACGAACTGTGGCTAACCATGAAATCATTTCTGAACCTTGAACTAACTGTACCATAGACAATTATTCGAGCTATACGGAGCTTGACTCTATGATAAGACAGATGCTTGGGCTAGTTGGTGATTGGGAATCAACATATTTGTACAGCACAAGACTACGAGTAGTTACGACGTAACTACAGAAGAAAAGACAAGGATAGAAAGAGCGCTACAGCGCTCTTTCTCTCCTTGTCTCTTCTTTTGTAGTTACGTCATAACTACTCGTAGTGCTCTTTTTATACTTGTCTCTTCTTCTGTAGTTACGTCGTAACTACCCGTAGTCTTGCGCTGTGCAAATATGTTGATTGACTTTATGCTTCGCAGGCTTGCGAAATGGGACGGTACCAGTGTTTCCAAGATCGGCCGCGGCTTCACTAGTTGATTCTAGGTGTAACGGAAATTCGCAGGTCATAATTGATGCGTCATTGATGTGAATATTGCTGCAGCCTTCTGTAGTGTTGACCCAAAAATTTGGTTCGGATATTGGCGTGGAAGGAATGTCAAATTGATGCAGAAATAAACATGAAGAATGTCGTCAAGTGTATACAAGGTTCAAACCAAGAGGCACGTCATTTGTCAGCATGGAAGGCAAGAATGAAGGCTGCTCTGCTCGTTCGATGAAACATAAATGGATTGACGCTGATGCCGCCAGCGCACATAACAAAACAAGCATAGCACTGCGAGCCCGCCACCTAGCGGCCGGGTGCCTAAGAAACGAGTGTGCAACGAAACGGTCAACGTACGTAGGTCTAAGATGACGCAAAAGTGACGGAGGCCCGACAGACAGCACGTGATGGCGAGAACATTTATTTTGCGTGGATATGCGTGTGAGTACGCCGGCCCCACGAGAATGCCTTAATGAGATGTCCGTGTCTTGGACGCACGGCTATAGCGGAGACGTGATACTTTGCCCGCATTCCACTCACGTCTCGGGTCACCAGAAGAGAGAGAGAGTAAAACTTTATTGAAGGGGAAAGGGAGAGGGGCGTTTTAGAGCCTTTATGGTTGGGGCCCTACGTCCAGGGCTCCACTGGCCTTAGCCGCCCGCCGGACTTGATCCAGTAGTGCGAGCTGCACTCCTGGGTCCGAGCTAGCGAGGTGTGCCTCCCACTGCTCCATACTAGGTGTTAAAGGTTCGCCGAGAAAATTGGTTATGTCGCTTGGTTTACGATCGCACCCCCACGATATGTGGTAGAGAGTCGGTCTTCCGCCGCACCACGGACATACAGCCGGGTAAAGAGTTGGATGTATCGCGTGTAACTTCAGTAGGTGCGGAAATACATCCGTTTGAATTTTTCTAAGGTCAGTGGCCTCTTCCCCATTAAGGGATCTGTGAGGTGTTCCACATTTTTGACGCGTGAAGCGCTGGTGAGCTAGAATCTCCCTAGGTAAAATTGGCATGGTCAATGAAAGAGATGGATTCTCCGCTCGGTTACAAAACGCACGAGCTAGAGCGTCCGCCCTTTCATTGCCTTCGAGACCTGCGTGTCCCGGGCACCAGATCAAGCGATGGTGGTGAGTGAGTTTGGATCCTAGCAGCCTCAGCCCCATTGCTGGAAGGCGGCCCCTTAAAAAGAGCCGGCAGGCTTCCTGGGAGTCGGATAAAATAACTGATGGCTCCCCTCTACGCTCCTGAAACCTTAAGGCTAAGGCTATGGCCATCGTCTCCGCCTTTGTAGCCGAGGTCGTGCGTACGGAGGCACTCGTTAGCAGCGTCATGTTGTTGTCGACAACAGTAATTATGTGTCTCTGCCAATCGAAACTGGCCGCATCGACGTACGCGACATTTGAAGCTGAGCCGAATTGCTTTCGAAGCCAGTTTACCCTCGCAGTACGTCGCTCAGCGTGAAAGTCGTGATGCATATTTTTGGGCACCGGTGCGATTGAGATTCGCCTGCGGACCTCTTGGGCTACGTCGACCAGCTCCTCATCAATGTGCTGTGGGTGGGGCGAAATTCCTATTCTAGTGAGTATCGCCCTGCCTGCTGAAGTTTCACTTAGACGATTCCTCTGAGACATGAGGACTGCGGCACTGAGCTCAGCATAAGTGTTATGTATACCGAGAGCTAGGAGCCGCTCGGTCGGTGTGCTGGTGGGTAGACCAAGTGCTGCCTTAAAAGCGCTTCTAATGAGCACATCCACCTGGCTCTCCTCACTTCTGTCGAGTGAGTGGTACGGTAGGCCATACGTCACTCTGCTCAAAACTAAGGCCTGGACAAGCCGGAGAGTATCCTTTTCTTTCATGCCTTTTTTATGATAAGTGATGCGACGGATCATTCTAGCTATCTGTTTAACCGTAGTCTTTAAGGTGGTTATCGTGTGACTGGCTTTGCCATTGCTTTGGACCCAGAAGCCAAGTATACGGGCCTGAGTAACCTCGGCTATGGCATGGCCGTCTACCTGTAAGTTTATGTCACCGTTACTTTTGTAATACTTACTGTGTATTCTTATGAGTTCAGATTTTTCAGGCGCACAGCTCAGCCCACTTTTTCTTGCGAACTCTGCCACAGCTGTCGCAGCAGCCTGGAGGGTCTGCTCTTTCAGCGCCAGTGAACCCTTCGTAGCCCAGAGTGTGATGTCGTCCGCATACAATGTATATCCAAGGTGCGGGATTGCTTCGAGCTCGTGAGCAAGTCTGCGCATAGCTATGTTAAAGAGCAAGGGGGAGATGACTGCCCCTTGCGGTGTGCCTTTATTTGGCATCGAGAACGGCACCGACCTCGTGTCGCCTATCCCAATAGTTGCCGTCCGCCCAGAGAGGAAGGATTTAATGTAGTTAAATGTACGCTTTCCGCAGCCGATTGTGTTGAGTTCAGAGAGAATGGCCTCGTGCGAAACATTATCAAAGGCCCCTTTGAGGTCGAGGGCCAAGATCAAATGTTCGCCTCCCCTGGGTACGCAACTCATGACCTCTTCTTTTAAAAGGAGGAAGGCATCCTGGGTTGAGAGTCCGGAGCGAAAACCAATCATGGTAGCGGGAAACAGATTTTCTTTTTCAATGTAATTTTGAAGCCGTGTCTGTACTACTCGCTCGTAGAGCTTGCCCATGCACGAAGTAAGCGAAATGGGCCGCAGGGCTCCGAGCGATGGTGCTTTACCGGGCTTTGGTATAGTTATTATTTTGGCTTCCTTCCACTCCGGAGGAACGTGACCTTGGGACCAGCAGTGGTCGTTAAGAAATTGCGTTATCTGCTCAAGAACCTCAGTGCTGAGGTTTCTTATCATAGCGTTTGTTATACCATCCGACCCCGGCGCAGAG